GGGGTAGGGTTAGGGTTAGGGTTAGGGTTAGGGTTAGGTAGGGTTAGGGTTAGGGTTAGGGTTAGGGATAGGGTTAGGGTTAGGGTTAGGGGTAGGGTTAGGGTTAGGGTTAGGGTTAGGGTTAGGGATAGGGTTAGGGTTAGGGTTAGGACCTCAACGAACACCTTCCCAGACGTTGCTGCATTCGATGCCATTACGTCGGATGTGCTGCAACGGATGTGGAATGAACTGGACTATCGCTTGGACATCTGCCGTGTCACACGGGGCGCCCATATCGAACATCTCTGAAGGTGAGACAAAACTTTGATAGTTTATCTGTCGCTACGTAGCTGTAGTTTGGTTACAATAAACATACATTCGTCTAAAATTAATTTTCTTATTGGCCTATTCATTTTGACTAACCCTGTATTTTAACTGGTTAACCAAATCCCCATGTTAAGTCTATGAGAAGCAAAAGTTAAATGAGTCCCACCATAACTGCAAGCACTATCTTAAGCAAATTTTGACAATTTATTCATACTGTCATTACTTGCATTAATAGCTGATATAGTGGAAGCAACCAACCACCCATAACTGGCAGACAAGGCCTATGGAATTGCATGGGGGGGGGGGGGGGAATTGAAAGCCGTCATTGAATGGGTGGAGCTGCAGGCTATTAGGAGCCCCCCCCCCCCCAGGCTGTGCTTTTTGTTTCAGGGTGAGGTAGGAGGCAGGTTCCTAATGGGAAATTAGGCCTTTCCCTCCTTGTTCCCTCCCATCCCCTTTTCCAGATAGTAGGGTTCCCATTGCTATGCCTTTGACCCAGGGAGGCACCCTACAATTGGGACAGTTTCTGCCCTTGGCATTTATTGGCAGGGATTTCCCAGCAGAGCATAAGGGCTGGGCTGGCTGCATTAAGCAGAGTTCCCCTCCTGAGTTGCCTCAAGGAAAGCACATTCTGTAGCAGAGATGGTTTGCCCTCCCTCCCCGCTTTAGAATAAACTCTTAGTAAGTTGTTGCCTAGGTGAATCACACTCTCTCGGCCTCAATTCATGAGTGCTGAGCCACAGGGGAAAGTTGCAGACAACTTCGAGCCCTTCCACACAGCCCTATATCTCAGAGTATCAAAGCAGAAAATCCCATAAAATCTGCTTTAACGGGGTCATCTAAGTCCTCACTCAGATAATGTGGGATTTTCTGCCTTGATATTCTGGGATATCATGTCCAGAGTCCAAAACCATTTCAAGTTCAGGTTTATCCATAAATAATCCAAATAAATGTTTATCTGTGGGTCGTTGTAGGTTTTTTCGGGCTATCTGGCCATGTTCTAGAGGCATTCTCTCCTATATGGCCATGTTCTAGATGCATTAGGAGAGAATGCCTCTAGAACAGGGGTCCCCAGCCTCTGGGCAGGGGCGGCTGAACCAATAGCAGCTTGGCTGCTGCTCCTCTCCCGCTTGGGGGCTGGGAAGGAAGAGGGAGGCGAAGGTGCGGACGCTGTGAGTGCTGGATCTGAATGGAGGGAGCGAGAAGGCAGGCAAGCTGATCAGGGCTTTCCTGCTCCCCCCCCCAGCATCCGGATGCTCCATCTCCGCCTGTAGAGCTCCAGGGTGTATGAGCCGTGGTGCACCATGGCTGGGGCTGCAGGACTGGCAGGCAGCGGGAGGCGCGCCTGTCTCTCTTCTCCATGCTCCTAGCCTTTGGCCACTCTCCTCTTGCTYCTCCTCTTGCCCCTGGACAGGAGACCAGCATCAGCAGCCAGACCAGTAGCAGGGCAGCAAGAGGAGAGCAGCTGAAGGCTAGGAGTGTGGAGTAGAGAGACAGACGCGCTTCCCGCTGCCTGCCAGTGCTGCAGCCTTCCTTCCTTCCCTCCTTTTGCCTTTTTCTCTCCTTTCCTTCRTTCTATCCTTCTTTCCTTCCATCCTTCCTTCTTTCTGCCTTAATCCCTTCCCTCCCTTCKCCTTTCCTGGCTTTTCCATTTCTTCCTTCTTTCCTTCGGCACTTGGGCGCTCCCTCCACCCACTCAGATTAAGCTCCGCCTCCTCATCCTCGCCCTCTACAGCCACCCGTAGCAGCAGCAGCAGGGCGAAGGGGTGACACAAAGGCCACTATTCCATTTTCAGGATATCAGGATATCAGGTGCCAAATTTGGTCAAGACCCATCATTATTTGAGTTCACAATGCTCTCTGGATATAGGTAAACCACAACTCCAAAACTCAAGTCCAATGTCCTTCAATTTACTTCAGAAGACTATTGTTGTTGTTGTTGATTTTTTAATTATTTTTTGGACTTCCACTCCCACTACTGGCTGTTAGGAATTGTGGGAGTTGAAGTCCAAAACACAAGGAGGGCCCAAGCTGGCCCATGCCTGTTTTAAAGAATAGCAATGATGTTTAATTCTATTGTAATGTTTCATATATTTGTAGATTTAAATTGTATTGAAATGTAAGCTGCTTTGGCCCCTTCCACACAGCTGTATAAAATCCACACTTAACTGGCTTATATGGCAGTGTGGACTCTGATAATGCAGTTCAAAGCAGATATTGTGGATTATCTGCCTTGATATTCTGGGTTATATGGCTGTTTGGAAGGGCCCTTTCGGACGAACCTATATCCCAGGATCTGATCCTAAGTTTTCTGTTTATCCCAGATTATCTGGCAGTGCAGACTCATATAATCCAGTTTAAAGCAGAAAACCTGGGATCAGATCCTGTGATATAGGGCGTCTGGAAGGGCCCACAGTCTCCTTGTGGAGACAAAAAGTGATGTATAAATAAACATAATAATAAAATTGTAGAACAGAAATCTGTTCCTGGTTTGAAAGTGTTATTTCTCATCCAGTGTATATTTTCTCATCCAGAAACTTTGTGTGACTGCCACAAACTATCCTCCAAACTCCCATGACAAGAGGTCATGGGAGTTTGGCCAATAGGCTGATCGGTAAACATATTCATGGGTTCCTGCTGTTATAGTAAACCTGTTACCCATGCCACGACATGCTTGAAGTCAAAATTTCATTTCTTTATTATTAGAAATAAATGTTTTACAATATATAAAACAAATGTTTCACAATATTCCTGTGTAAACTATAGTCCGGCCCTCCAACAGTCTGAGGGACAGTGAACTGGCCCCCCATTCAAAAAGTTTGAGGACCCCTGCTCTAGAACATGGCCATATAGCCCAAAAAAAACCTACAATAACCCAGTGATTCCAGCCATGAAAGCCTTCGACTATACATTAAATGTTTATCCATTTTAAATTGTTCTACTAATGGTCTGTAGGTAAACCATTATACTGGGCAGTTTTTGGACAGTAGTTCATCTCTCGTCTTTATTCTATACTGATCATTATCCAACACCAAAAATTATTTATAAATCAACCATTTCTCTTTCATAACAATTTCTCTCTAAACAGAGCTTCATGTGAAGAGCACATCAATGACTTTCTGCTGTAATTTTTTTAATATTTATTCCACAGATTTAATAAAAAATCTCCTTATCTAGTGGGTATTTAAATTAGAGTCCACCTTTATTTTATGATACCAAAAATAGGCATGAATCCCAAATTTCAGGCTTTCTCTTTCTAGTTGTAGTAAATGTTTATTTCTCAGGAACAACCAGTTGATCAAGCAAGGGTCCATCCAGACAGGCCCAAAATGCGGAACCTGTCTCTGTTTTTGCTGCCTCGGTTTTTACCAAATGACGCCTTCAATAAAAACCATGTGTGAGAGACTGGAGGGTGGGCGAGAAGAGATTTTCTTCCTCATCCCTCCCATCTCCTCAGGCATCATTTTCTCACTCCAGGAGGATGTGAGGAAAGGCTTCATGGCAGCCAGAAAAAAAATAGTAATCTTTAGAGGGGAAATCAAGAGCTTCAGGGTGGCATATAGCCCCCTCCCCCTGGAAAGCCTGGGGTTTGGGTTGGTGGGTGGGGACTAGAACCCACACCAAAGCAGGATGTTTTAATTTGTTTCAGCACAGGTTGTAGTCATGTGTGGAAGGGCCACAAGTCAAACAGCACACATGATAGTAGGTTTTTAGACTAAGAAGACCTAGTCCTCATATTAGCCAGTCTGAGTCCCTCTACGGAGGTAAAGAACATCGGGATATAAAAGTTTAAAAGAAATAAATAATATTTTCAAGATGGCAGTTGAAAATAGTTCATTATTAACATTGTTGGTTGAAAGATATATTTAACAGTGGAAGAAACCAGAAGTCAATATTATTGGCTTATTAATTAATATTAAGTTAGGTTTGTTAATGACACTAATAAAGAAATATTTAGAACAAAGTTGTGACCTGCTATTTATTCATACACACATACAAATTATGCATACACACATACAAATGAAACATCTATATGTATTGAAGCAGGAACAGGGGGAACGGCAGGCCGCTCCTCCCACTGCTTTCGGCCGGGATCTTGCTGAGACACTTTGAAGACCACTCGAAGCCCAAATGAGTTTAAAAGCAAGCACCTTTATTGTACTGCAGTAGAATAGGRGGACAGAATGACACTAAGGCTCAGTGTCAYTACAAAGCTGTCGCGCCTCYAGCCCTCTGGCTGRGAGGCTWATATACCKTTGTCTAGGAGTTTCCCTTTTTCTCTATCAGGTTACACAGATGGGCTAACACCTCTTTRGAGGTAAYCATCTGTGGGGTGTAGCTCACCACCWACYGTRCAAGACACCTCCCCTGGAGTAAACAACTCCCATAGGCATCTCTATTAARGTYACATACTGCATATATCTTCATCATATCTGGCRGACCACATTGGCMGGSCACAAACTGTTTCTTGGAACCAACTSTCATAACACRTGCCTCCCTAAAGAAAGAAAGACAGGCTGTTTCTTGATTAGAAGTGGAGAATATGCCCTTTTCTAAAGAATAGACAGAGAAGATGGAGTGACTTTGGTTCACTGTTTCTCTCAGTATAAAATAAAATAATTGCTATATTAATCACCTCAACTGTATGCACATTCATTCATCTTTAAGCCTCACAGTAAAGCATAGTGTTTATGTCCAAATTATCTTGCACATAATAGCAAAATCAATCACGTGATTATTAATATTTATTACTTCATGTATATGGACACAAATGTGACATGAAAAAGTTATGAAAAGCTTAGGTATCTTTGTGATGTTTCTCGAAGCGTTCAAGTAGAGCTCTTAATATATTTCCTGGTCGTTTTTGATATCTGTCTCGAAGATGTTCAACTGCAGCCTTTGCCTAGTAAAATAAAAAAGCAAAAGGATTAAGCTATATATAGTACAAATATTTTCCCCTACTTACAATAAAAGTTTATGATGGGATCCGCTGTAGAATTCCCACACACCAATCCAGTAGCAGAAATACTATGTATTTTCTCATTAACCAAGTAAATGTATTTTATTGAACAATACTGAGTAAGTCCAAACTAACTGAAATCACACCTAAAAAAGGCAATTCATTCCATAGGAACACTAGCAGTCAACTGTGGACAGTTTTATACAATGCACCTACCTTTTAGAAGTGCTGCTTCTATCCATAAGGGAAGGAATATAATGACATGTAAAGAACATGCCCTCTTTCATCCAAATAAGCTGTTCTCTTTGGATCCATCTATATTGGCATATAATGCAATATATGATAAGTGTAGACTCATAGAATGCAGTTTAACTGCATTGAACTGCTTTCTATGAGTGCACTGACCATATAATGCAGTTTTAAATTGCATTACATGGCAGTGTATATGGGATATTTGTTACACATTACAAAGTAACATGGCAGAAATGGCATGTGTGTGTGAAATGAAATGGCATTATGTTTAAGAAATATGGCAGTGTACAAGTCATAAGTGTATTTCAAAATAGTAAGACATTTGGAATTGAGAGTTATTGCAAAATAATTACTAGTTAAAGAATATTATTATTATTTAAAAGTGAAAATAACAATCTAACAACAACAACTAGTTAAATAAATTTTGGCATATGGAATCGGTAGACCAATTGGATAATGATCACAGAACTGATGTACCCAGTTCTGGTCTTAAGGGTATTCATCTTCTTTATATAATTGTCACATGAACTTGCTGACTTATGATGACCCTAGGATAGTTCTACAATTGGGATTAGTGATGATGATCTGTGTAGGTTTAGTTATTGCTTTTTTAAAATCAGCCTGAGACTTGTCCAAGGTAATCCTTTGGCCAAGCAAAGATTTGAATACTGGGCTCCCAGACCAAAACTCAAACCACTTGACCATAGTGGCTGTCAAGAAAACAATGTTAAATTTCATTCTGGGTAAATATTCCTACATGATTAATTAGCATACTTTTTCAGCCAGTTCCTTAGCAGTTATGTTTGGATCATATGGGATCGGTTCTCCAATATATGTGCGAAATTTCACTGGAAACCCTCCATATATGGGAAGGACTAGGAATCGAGTATGTTCATACAGCCATCTTGACAACCCTGTACATGAAATGAACGAATATTTTGAGATAATACAAACAATCACATTTGCAATTATCTGAAATTTTATATTTTCACAGCTGTAAAGAGTTCATCACAGAAAAAGAAAAAGAAAACTGAACAATATACATGCTCACAGAATACATACATATTAGGAATGTGTGATACATGGTTCTAAATCAGTGGTTCTCAACCTGTGAGTCCCCAGAAATCCTAACAGCTGGTAAACTGGATTGGCTGTTGCTTTGTAAAGGATTGGGTATTGCTAGGTGAAATGTGATGTTACTGGGAAAGAAAGGCAACCTGTATGAGGGGGAGAAGGGAAGGGAAGGAAGGAAATGGGAAAAGATACGAGTGGTCAGAAAAAAAGAGAAAGAAGAGACACACTGGGTATATGCTCTAATAATTTTAATAAATAGAAATGATTGAAAAAAAAAACAAAAAAGATTGAACTGTGAGGACTTGTCTGATTTCTCTGGGGAGGGCATTCCAGAGCCAGGGGGGCACAACCGAGAAGGCTTTCTTCCTTGTCCCTACCAACTGTGCTTGTGATGGATGTGGGACTGAGAGGAGGGTCTCCCTGGCAGATCTTAGAGCCCGTGCAGGTCAATAGGGGGGATGCGGTTGCGAATATAGGCTGGACCCAAACCATATAGCACTTTGTAAACTTTGAATTGGGACTAGAAACTTATTGACAGCCAGTGGAGCTCCTTTAATAGGGGCATAGTGTATGCCCTATAGCTAGCCCCAGTTAGTAACTTGGCTGCTCATCTTTGTACTAATTCAATTTCTGAGCTGTCTTCAAAGGCAACCTCACGTAGAGTGCATGGCAGTAATCAATTCTAGATGTAACTGAGGCATGGATCACAATGGCCAATTCAGGCTTTTTGAGGTACAGTTGTAGCTGGTGCACAAGTTTTAATTGTGCAAAGGCCCTCCCAGCCACTGCCAGCATCTGAGCTTCAAGTGTCAACATTGAGTCCAGGAGGACCCCCAGACTGCAGACTTGTGTCCTCATGGGGAGTGTAACCCTGTTGAGCACAGGTTGCCACCTTTACCCTGATTGTCCTCGCAACTGACCAGGAGTACCTCTGCCTCCTTACTGTCATACAATTCGAAGCATAGCTTATGAAATCAATTGTGACATTTAGTTTATATCCTCCTCAATTTTTCTCCACATATCCCCGGTATACTGCTACATTTATTATTTTTATTTTCTAAATTTAGGGAAAGATGTAACAATCACATATTTCTGCACAACTATGCAAACTTTGCAAGTTTGCACAACTCATACATGTTAGGAAAAGCATGTGACAATGCAGTAGTTAGTTGATAAAATTACTTGTATTTCATTATATTAAAATGTTCACAGCTTAACATACATTTTGTTGAAGATGAAAAGTAGGAAATGTAGCTCACGTGTTTTTCCAGTTGACCTGTATCCTTCACGAAGATTTTGAGTAAACATAGGGATTATTGGCTTTAAAAAAACAGAATATGTTACAATACATTACAATGAATATTTCACTTTACCCATCTTCACTTTATGTTTTTGTTAAAAAGCAGAAGCAAGGCCCCACATTCAGCTTTATTATAATAGTTTCCCATTTATGATGTAACTAGTAAAAATGAAGATTTGCAAACTCCAAAAATAGAAGAGAAAGGAGAAAGAACTTTATTCCTTTTAAAGTTTGATTCCTTACAAAGAGGCATACTAGTTTTAAAGGATGGACCCAACTTCAGGGAACACTTGATCTTTTCGTTTTGTAAAAAGGGAACTTGCCCAACATAGGACTACACCTTTCCTTAGTGAGGGCAAAATCATACCTATCTACCAGAAGTTTTGGTTAAAAGTCTTTTTGTTGTACAAGAACAAATAAATATTTTCCTATTTTTAAAAAGCACCTCAAGGATCCCACTATTGCATGAATTCAGGTTTTCTGGGTACATCTACACCAGCGTTTCTCAACCTGGGGGTTGGGAACCCTGGGGTGGTTGCAAGGGGATGTCAGAGGGTTCTACAAAGACGCAATGTTTTCTGATGGTCTTGGGGATCCTGTGTAGAAAGGTTGACCCAATTTTTTCATGAGTGGGGTTCAGAATGGTCTCCGATTGTAGAGGAACTATAAATCCCAGCAACTACAACTCCCAAATGACAAAATCAACCCCCCTCCCCCCCACCACCAGTATTCAAATTTGGGCACATTAGGTATTTGTACCAAATTTAGTCCAAGGAATGAAAACACATCCTGCATATCAGATATTTACATTACAAGTCCTAACAGTAGCAAAATTAAAGTAATGAAGACACAATGAAAATAATGTTATGATTGGGGGTCACCACAAGATGACAAATTGTATTAAGGGGTCGCAGCATTAGGAAGGTTGAGAAATACTTATCTACAGTGTAGAATTAATGCAGTTTGACACACAGTCCCAAACTGCAAGCATTCGCATTGGTTCTGGCTTCTTAACACTTGAAAAACATTATTATTATGCTTGGTCAGGACATAGCTTTGTCCAAGTTCCCTGGACAGCTAAGCGCTTACAGTACACGCATGCAGATAAAACCCAATAATATTAACTATTTGTAGAGTTGCTGTCAATGGCCAGGTGGCAACTGGAATTTGGCTTAACCTACTATAGGAAGGTGAGCCTTCGCATTAGCAGTAGGGTGGGGCTGCTGTGGTGGCTACCTAGTGTAGAAATACCACCAAGGACTTTCTCATACATCTCCCAAATGCAATCTGTCAGCCATTTGCTGTTGTTACTAATTTAAATCGCAAAACAGAAATGAATGACTCAAATAGGCTGACCAGAATCATATTGTTCCTGGTTCATAGTTTAATTTCATATCTACAAAATTAATCTAATTTTTCTTCAGTCACATGTAACATAATAGAATGTTATCTAACTTACCACTTTAGCATCTAAAGCCAGTTGAGCAAAACCGGTACGGTTACCCCACATTAGATTATAGTACTGGTCACTAAAATTTCCCTCTCTAAGTCCACCAGGTGCAAGCCCCAATAAATGGCCTTTCTTCAGAATTTCCAAACATTCCACTTTGGTGTAATTTTTACAATGGACCACATCAAGGCCCAATTTCAATCCTTTAAGAAAAGGAATACATGAAGCATGCAATCACACATTTATTGTAAAAGAAAAGTGTAGTTATTTTGCAGATATCATTCTTCCAATGACACTCATTTTTTAACATTCCCAATCATGGCTGCTTTACTCATAACAGATGACTCTTCTTCTCTTATATGTTCTCACAATAGTTTCTCCCCTAAAATGCCCAGTCACTGAGGAAGGAGCTCTATGGTGATCCATTCATTTGACAAGGGTTAAAATCAGGTCTTACATTTGGCAGAATGACATTCAAATGAATACTAAAGTGAAAATGCATATCTTAAAGAGGTTTGTCTCTTATCTCCTTCAAATAGAGGAGTAACATGGGCTATTCAGACATGGAAGAATAGAGACCTGAATCTTTTTTTTGTAATCTAAATGTACCCAGTCCTTCTCTTTGAGATATATATACACAGACTGTATAACCCCAAAGGAGGGGGGAGGGAATCACCTACTTAGCATTTATGTCACACATAGAACCTCATCACGAGAAGAATTCTAGCATCCTAGGATGGGTTGTTGTAGGTTTTTTCGGGCTATGTGGCCATGGTCTAGAGGCATTCTCTCCTGACGTTTCGCCTGCATCTATGGCAAGCATCCTCAGAAGGTAGTGAGGTCTGTTGAAACTAGGAAAAAGGGTTTATATATCTGTGGAATGATGCTTCTGCCACTGAGCCCCATGCCGTCCATCCCACTATGTACCCTCACTTTCAGCTGTGTTCCATTGCTCAACTGAGGTGCCAACATGGTAGGATACTGTTTCACCAACATGGAAGCCTCCCCATGTTCCATTTGGAACAACTGATAAGCTGCTTGGCAACACTTCCCCACGTGTGATGGGGAAGCGTCATTGCCAGCCAGGGGTGGTGTGAGGCACAGGTTGCCAGGATTGCACCACTGCCCAGCCGATTCATTACGAAGGCCGGCGAATCGGCACGGGGGACCTCATCAATGTGAAAATGTCCACAGAGCTATATTACTTCCAGAGTTGGCACAGCCACTTAATGCGGTTGTGCTCTAAATTAGTGAATGTTGAGGAATGCTCCAAAGCATCCTCCCAAACTGCATAGCAGTGCTGCACCTTTGGATTTGTGAAGAGCAGGGCTAGTTTTGATTCAGAACAGCCTTCACTGTTCACACAAGCCAATACTACCATATTGCATAAGGAAAAGGGGATGGCACTATCGTGATTAGAAATATGCCATTTTTTAATCACCGTAGCAGCAGATGCCATGAAGCCATAGAAAGTTCCTGGTCATCACTGCCTGTTTTGCCAGTGTAAGCAAAGTCACCTACATGACTCAGAGGGCAGAAAGAAAGAGTGGACCCATTGCCACAACTATGATGACCAAAAACAACACAGGTAAAGGGTATTGTCTAATGAAGATGAACCAAATTTTGCCTGACTCTACAACGAGGATTCTGCTCTGACAGCTGACATTCTTTGGGAGTTTTGGGTTAGCCCCAGATTTTGCTGCTTGTGTGGATGCACCTTATTATTATTATTATTATTATTATTATTATTATTATTATTATATAATGATTTGAATCTACATTATATTTAGAATAGTTGTGCTAAAATTTTCTAATGGTTCACTGAATTTGCTCAGATCAGTTTTTTAAAAAAATTATTATATAGGATTATTCAATTTTGTAGTTTATAACATGATCTGCCTTGAACACTTTTGTGTTCAATAGTAGAAAATTAATTCAAATAATAATTAATTTCTTACCTGGTAATTTGACCATAGTATGGTCAACTACAGTATGGCATAGTCTCCCCTTCTCTGCAAATATGTTAGCTATAAAAAATACATAATCAAAAACAATAGCTCCATGGTAAAAAGTAATAATCCCTGGTCCTTCAGGTATATGTTCCATGCCAATAACCTCATAGCCTAAAAGAGTATAAAACCCAACAGGTTAATTCAACAGTATTTTCTGACACCATATTAAAATTACAGTAATGTCTGAAATGTCCTAAACCAAGGAAATTGGAAGCTAATTTTCCATAACCAGTAACTGGCCCATCTTCAGCCAGGTTTCTCACTATACAAAGACTAAAAATGTTTTGGATATAGGCTTTTCATCTTTATAATGTTAGAGTTGCAGATATAAGTATAAATATGTATAGCTGTGATTTGCTGCAACTTCCAAAACAGCAACCAAGTCCTAAAAGCTTTCCAGTGATTTGGCCCTTTAATTGCATTGTTGGTTGCTATGAACCCTGGAAAATGCTGGAATTAATAACACAAAATGAAATGAAATATCTTACCATGTAATATTTTCCCACCTGCAGCCACAATTTGTGCAAGTAAGTGTTTTACTTTGTTCCAAGGTTCGCTGTAAGTGTCTTCTGGTATGTTCTTCTTCTTTTTGTAAACATAAAATATAAATGAGGCAAAACAGCCCAAAATATACATAAATGAATATATTGAATGTAACAATATCAAAGGCACAAGTAGCCACAAAGGATTAATCACAAATATCACATATTGTTCCAAGTAAGTAAAATCAGTCCTGTTTGTCAGTACAGAAGAAAACCAGGTGATCATTTCCTGACCTGGAACACCAGGTGTTTTTGTTGCTACCATATCATGCATGTCAATAAAACAAAATGATTATTCCACAAAAATTGGATATTCTTCCACCATTTACCTGTAAAGGGGAAAAAAAATGCTATTTATCATTTTGAACTTAGTGGTGTTTATATTTAAAAGAAACATGATAATATAATTGTAATTTCTCTCACCCCAAATTTTATATAATTCTAAGGGAATATATCTTTCCAGTAACAACCACTTTTTTGCACTTAGTTTTGTTGGTAGATCACCAATGTGCACTGAACTTTTGCAGCACTAGAAATCAACAGCAATTTTCAACTACGGGAGTTATTTTGCCATGCGTTTCAGAAACTTTCCAAAATAATTAATCTAGCAATGCTTCTAAAGATAGGAAGTCCTGGGGACATCTATTCCCTACATATAGTGACTGACTTCAGTAGTGCATATTCTCAGATTACTGAAGGATTTACATCAGAGGAAACATTATTATATTTTTGAGAACTCTATAAACAATAGCATGGGGGGAATCACTGGGGGGATCAGAGGGTGCAAACCACATTCTCACTCACAAACCGCACCAGGTAATACCCCCAAAATGACTGTATTGTGTCTGCTAGAATTTTCAGCTTGTCTTCAAGGTCAGACCCATTTTTCTGTACACATTGATTGCAATTAGGATCATGTAGTTGAAGTCAAGGCTCCCTTTGTTACGATTTCAACTCATGTACCAGTCAAAGTTACCACTACCTCCCGTTCTTTCACAGTCAATACAGAATCTAGAAGGACTTCCGTGTTTCAAACTTGATCCTTCAGGGGAATCCCAGCTAATACCAGCACTCAATTTATTCACATAAGCAGATCCCTCCCTTACATATACACATACCAGCAAAATTAAATTAAATCAAACCAAAGACTGTTCACATATCTAAGGATCATATCATATTGAGGTCCCTAATGCAAGCGACAGTGGGGGAATTCGCTAGGCAATGTGGCAAATCCGTGGGGCAGTGGGGGAAACCGTAATCCCACAGCCTGCATCACTGCCTTCCCCCATCACATGGAGAAAAGCATCACCACCCAGCATCCCCCCACGCTGACCCTGTTGTAGGCTATGATAACATGGGTATCCACCTGCATTCTCAGGGCTCCATCCTAGGATGCTTCCAGGATGGAGCCAGGATGGAGCTTCACCAGAGGCAGCTCTGCATTGTGTGAAGGGCTTTGATGGACTCCATCCTGGCTCCATCCTGGAAGCATCCTAGGACAGAGCCAGAAGTTTATGTGATGAGGTCTGATAATGTCTGTCCAATACTCAATAGTTCCCTAGCCTTCCTAGTTAATATAAAAAAGAGCTCTGTTTCCCCAATGAAGGAAGAAATCCCAAATAAGTATCAATATTTACAGTCCTTTTACATAAAAGAGATTACTCTTCCAATATTATTAGTTTTGTATCATTAAAGCTTTTGGCACATTAACAGAAATGAAATCAGTTTTCTGTTAATAAAACACCAATGACACATACATTTACAACAGTCACTGGAAACAGCACCCCCAGAACTGCTGCTTAAGCCATAGCTTCCATATCTTCCAGAACAGGAGACTAAATAAATACATAGTCAGGTGTCAACATTTAACTACAGATCCTGCACTGAGCCCCCTTCCAACTCTGCGATGACATTATTCTGAGTGAGAGACAGTAGCCCTTTTGTTGAACAGAAGAATGCTGTGTCTGCAAAGGGTGTCTGCAATAGAATAATCAGTCCAGTCTGACTTTCTATATTCTATGGCAGTGGTTCCTTATCTTTGGTCCTCCAGATGTTTTGAACTTTATCCCAACAACAAGTGACATTTTGCCTATCTACAATATATTTCTTCAAACATACATTTTGCCTAGAAATGTACAATGAATTTTATGGTTTTTAGGTTCTACGGCTCAAAGGTTCTTTCTTACTAGTTCATTAACACATCAACTTCACTGGCAAATCACACACATGTTTACTTACTGTTCCTGGAATATTCAGCTCTTTCTTCCTTCTGTTATATTGGAAGCGGTAGTAGATGCTTTTATCTTGTATCAATTTCTGACATATATCTATGATATAACAGGGGCATCTAATTCTCTTTATATGAAAGTTCAGAGAGATTGAAATGAGTGTGGCACTATGATGTAGAAACCATCCATTGTATAGGTGATAGATTCTACTTATTAATCTTGTAACTAAGAGGGTTCCACCTTGAGAGCAACAGATACTATTTTTGGAGAGGGTAAATTCAAAAGAAGGTTTTCTAGCACTTCCCTGCCAACTCCTTTTTAGAAGAAAAAAGTCAAAAGAAGTGGCTACAAAATTGGAGCAGGTGGGTCAAAGCGAGAAGGAAGTGTCTACATAAAACAAAACACAATTCAGGAGACAGGCAGGAAATCAGTTAAAGGCAGCCTGTGTCTGAGTACAGGGAGTCATGAGGTTTGATGTTTAAAAGTAGCAGTTGAAAAAAAATGGAGATGAATCAAGTTGAAGTAAAATACAGAGGGCACTTCTAGCAGTTTCTGAAGTAGTCAAGGAACCATCAAGCAAGGAATCCAAAGGGTACAACATTCCTTATAGTGGAGAGGCTCAGCATCACAGTATTTTCTCCAGTTTTGATGAGAAAACAGATCCCTCTTGGAGGGCCAGTGTTCTGTCCTATCCTGTATTGGATTCCAGCTCCTCTTCTTCCTGGCTGGGTTCCGTCATCTTGACTGTACATTTCTGTGGAAGCAAACTCTTTAAGATAAGGCAAGACAGAATAATATTCTATAAATATGGCATTACCTGGAACCCCTATAAAATTCCATGTATGTGACAGGGCAATTGCGTGATTAGCGCGATGTCTGGAAACACTCTAGAGTTGCTCTCTTTGGTTGACAGCTTCCTTGTGTTATGTACTGAATGAGCAGTGTGAGCTGTATAGCTGATTAAACTACTTCCTGTCAAGTCAATGATCAGTGTGATATGGAAACATCACAGGGATGCAAACATCTTTGGGATTTGATTGTTGAATCATACAGGCCACCTCCACAAATATTTCTGAGATATGTGTACATCATGTGTGTTTTATTAGCAATCAGTAAGTTTCACTAGTAGGGTACAGGCATTTATAATTTTTATTCAAGAAATTATTGTGAAAACAAATGAAAACAAAATGTAAGCACAGTAACAATATGCTATAAATTGACATCAGTCAATGCATGTACACATAATAATATTAATAATAATAATAATAATAATAATAATAATAATAATAATCCCTGTTAATAAAACAAGATAAACTACGCTGTGCTTACTAAAACAATAGGTGTAGCTATCTACCCTGTAGAATTACTACAGCTTGACAGTACTTTAACTGCCATGGTTCAATGCTATAGAATCATGGGAGTATAGTTTTATGAGGCGTTTAGATTTCTATGCCAAAGAGTGCTAGTGCCTCACCAAACTACAAAATTCCAGAATTCAATAGTATTGAACTATGACAGTTAAAATGGGGTCAAACAGCTTTAATTTTGCAATGTCCTATTTTGTAGAGCAGAACAAGGTCTTTCCTAAAATATCCAGCAATCAGAATCTGAAACCTGTTTTTCTTTCCCTGAAAATATAAGCCTTATGATGTTTGCAAAAGCCCAGGATGCCTCAGAGCATTTGGGAATAAAATGTTTTTTCCCCAAAAACGCTGGTCCCCTCCAAGGTCTCCTAGGTGTGGTTCCAGACAGCAGAAAAGTCCACACTGACCCAGGTTTAAAAAAAATTGGGGCAGAGTGGACTATAGTCTGCACACTGCCCCAAGAGCGCATGCTTTCCATGGGAATTGTTTACATCTTCTCCTGGTACCTACCAGGGGAACAGGGGAACAGCCTCCTCCCTAACCCTCCCCCCAAACCATTTTAAAAAATAAAAGAACTTACCTATCCCCCATTAGCATGCTGACGGATCTCACCTGGCACATAGGAATGATGCACCAGGAGAAGGGGGGCAGGAGAAATTTTCCTCCTCCCCCCTTCTCCTGGCGCATCATTCCTATGCACCAAGAGAGCTCCAGCACCACACTAATGGTGGCTGGGTAAGTTCTTTTATTTTAAAAAAAAGGTTTTAGGGGGGGTGGAAGGGGTTAGAGCCCTCTGGATGCACCCCTGGTTCTCCCGATTGCCCATTTGAACTAGAGCAAAGTGCAGCATCTGAACTTGTAGCTCCCAGAGAAGCTTTGCAGCTGACAAGAGCTACCTACTCCAAGGCATGAGCAGTACAAGTCTACAGTATTCCAACATGTGTGTGTGTATGGAGACCCCAGTGGCACAGTGGGATAAACCACTGAGCTGCTGAACTTGCTGACCGAAAGGATGGCAGTTTGAATCTAGGGAGCAGGGTCAGCCCCAGCTTCTGCCAACCTAGTAGTTTGAAAACATGCAAATGTGAGTAGATCAATAGGTACTGCTCCGGTGGGAACATAATAGCACCCCAGGCAGTCATGCCGGCCACATGACCTTGGAGGTGTCTACAGACAATGCTGCCTCTTCAGCTTAGAAATGGAAATGAGAACCACCCCCCAAAGTCAGAGACAACTAGACTTAATGTCAAGGGGAAACCTTTAATATATATGTGTGTGTGTATATATATACACATACACACACATGCCATGGGGCTGAACATATGTATTTAAAAATCCAATTAAAGTTGGTCTCATCCAACCATAGGGCCAGTATCTGGAGTTTCATATAACCACATCTGTATGTTCACTGTAGACATTTTTAGGTCCTCCAGCATGGTTCTATGATATTCTGGGCCAGAAATTCTTCATTTCAATTGATTTTGCTATTATCCACAGTTTCACACAACCACATTAAGTCTGGGAACATGTCCCCCGTGAGTATTATTCCACCAAATCACCATTCACACTCAACATTTAATTTTTTCATCACCTCCTGACAGTTCAATGCCATATATACAGTGCATAACTAATGGGGATAATGTTTCCTTATGACATCTAACGAGCATGAATTCAGTGGTAGGCTTGTGAATTTCAGCTGAACCTTGATGCATTTCTGCTGGCTGAATTTCAGGAGACCCTCAGATCCATTTTCACGTGCCTCCCAAAAATGGGCACGTGGTCCACTGCTGAAAAATGTAGCTAGATCCAGCCCATTGGCAGCAATGGGGGGGGGGGGCTCGCTGGGCTCCCCTTTCCATCATGTTTAGGACTATTAGGATGAAAATGGCTACATCTACCACTGTTTGCCCACCAAGTTTTATAACGTTTGGGTCTTCCCCTGATTTTTAGGAATTTCTTTTTAGAAATAAAATCTTTTAAAATTTCCCCAAAGGTATCCCCCCTGCTGGCCCCACCCTGTAACTTCTCCAGGAGCAGCAGGGCACCATTCCTTCCTACCAAATGTCAAAGATGCACCTCCACATCACAAAGCACACACATTTTCTCCTTTACTAATGAAAAACTTCTTCTAAAGCTTTTGCATTACTTGTTCTCACAAAACATACTGGAAGAGGCTAGCAACAGAAACATTGTCCCCTTATTAGAAAAACACTCAAGGCAGAAAATCCCACATTATCTGAGTGTGGACTCAGATAACCCACTTCAAAGCAGATATTGTGGGATTTTCTGCCTTAATATTCTGGCATATAGGGCTGTGTGGAAGGGCCCTAACCCAATATCTGCTTTGAACTGGGTTATCTGAGTCCACACTGCCTTATATCTCAGTTCAAAGCAGATAATGTGGGATTTCATTCAGCTGTATGGAAGGGGCCTGAGAACAATTATTTATTTATTTACCTCATTTGAAAGCATTCAGCTTTCAAATACACTCCCCTTGGAACCCAATAACTTCTAAAGTTGGTCCTTTTGAAGCACCAAGTTTTGTTTTTGTTTTTTTGTTGTCAGGAGCGATTTGATATGAGAAACTGCAAGTTGTTTCTGGTGTGAGAAAATTGGCTGTCTGCAAGGATGTTGCCCAGGGGATGCCCTGATGTTTTACCATCTTTGTGGAAGGCTTCTCTCATGTCCCCGCAGAGCTGACAGAGGGAGCTCATCCGCACTCTCCCTGGATTCAAACCTCCGACCTGCCGGTCTTCAGTCCTACCTGCATAAGGGTTTAACCCATTGCACCACCAGGGGCTCCTACAGCACCAAGTTCTTTTGTTAAAGCCTTTGGGTCCAATGTTTCCACCCAAATCAATACAACATCAACACCATCATTATCATCATTCCTTTCTCCCAATAATGCACCTCAAGGTAGCTAGCTAACAACACATTTAGGAATAATACAGAATTGAAACTACGCAAACACTTGGATAAAAGCATAACTGTAAAAGTTATTTAAATGGCAAACAATGCATAATGTTAAAACATTACTTTTGGGGGGAAAGTAAAATTTATTAAACGACTATGCAAACCATGCAACAACACTGCACACCATTTCAAGCATATCACATTCATTTCCTAAAGTCCTAGTGGTACAAAAATATTTCCAGGGTGAAAAGAAAAGAAAGGTCATTGCTTTAAACTAATGCAACTTGTTTTAAAATGAACTCTGTTTAATAAGCTTAATAAGTATTAAACATTATTTATAAATGTTAAAGTTTATTTAGTAAGTTTTAACTGTTTAAAAAACTCTTTTAAAACTGTTTAAAATTGTTTCATTTGATTTTATTTGTATTTGCCAAGATGTATTTATTATTTATTTACTGCATTTATATACTACTTTTCTCACCCCTGAAGGGACCCAAAGCAGTTTCCAACATAATAGTGGCAAAATTCAATGCCGTACATACATAGGAAAACCAAAACATAATTTCTAGACAGTAACATATACTATAAATTAAGAAACTTAACCATATTACACGTATTGGCATAAAACAACATATACATTAAAATCACATTAAAACATATCAATTAAAATAGTTTTAAAAAAAATCACATTATTAAAGATATTCCCATATAGGGTGAAATACTGGTATTTTAGTAGATGTGTAAATTTAATCTGCCTTTTTAGTGGAAATGTTAGAACTGACAAGATTTTTAATAACATAGTCCTCCTTAATTCCATTCCAAGCCAGCCATAAGCTTCCAGTTTATGAGAACCCTTCCTTCCTTCCAAGGATACTGCTTGCTTCTGAATCAAGAATGCCACCTAGTGGCCCATTTACTCAATGATAGTGAATGTGATGTTTTTAAATGTTTTACTGTGCATTAATTTTTAATTTAAATGTTCATCTGAATTGTATATTGTTTTAAGGCATTGAATAGTTGCCTATATGCAAAGCCACCTTGAATCCCCTTCGGAGTTGAGAAAGGGTAAATAAATAAATAAAATAAAATGTCAATCTATTTGTTTCAGCTTTCAGTTATCACTAGAGACTTAGGGCTTTTCCACACAGCCATATAACCCAGAATATCAAGGCAGAATATCCCACAATATCTGCTTTGAACTGGGTAATCTGAATCCACACTGATGGCGCTTCCAGACAGCACTAAATCACGGGTTTTAAGCAGGGGCAAAAAAATCCTGGGACTTCAGAAGAAGTCCACATACAGACCTGTTGGTTCCAGGATTTTGCCTCTGTTATCCAGATCTGATGCTTTGTTGGGAGATTTAGAGACTCCCAAGATGGCCACCGCAGGACTTCTGCCAGAATAATAAACATTTATTACGGTCAATGACCAGCATCAAAAGGTACAAGTGACAGGGTGTGCGAGTGTCAGAGTACACACACATGTACAAGCACATGTACAGAAGTATACAAGCATCAGGTTCTGCCAGAAGCTTCAGCAGGTTTTTTTTTTCAAACCCTCAAGATGCGGAGATGTGGAGAATTACTCCAGTGAATTACTGCAAAAGTTCTGTTCTTTGTCCTGGTC